ATGCTTCCTTCTCTTCCTAGGATTACACAATGGTTCCAAAGACTTAATGGGGTGGGGGCTGGAAAATGGGGTGGATGGGCTCTGACATTCTCATTGGTCAAGGTCATGTGATCCTTAGAAGCCACTCCTCTGCTTATGGACCCGGAGCGACAGGGGAATCCAGCTTCCCTAAGGCACCTTGTTTCCATTTGAAGTGACTATTATCTCCATGGGGTGCTTCTACAATGCAAAGCTGATATCCCTTTTACTAGAATCTTTGTCTTTTTTTTTTTTAATCAGTTTACAGGAATTGTTTTTCTCTACCATTCAGCTTGCTTATAATCCCTTCTTTTTTTCTCTTTACTTTCCCCCCCACTAAATGTGTCTCCCCTTTTAAAGCAAACTCTTCAAAAAGCAAGGGGCCTGAAAGGTGGACAGCTGAACACAGCTGTAGAGATAACACAAACACCGCATTCTAAGGAGTCCTGTTCCAGGAAGCCTCACCTTCGATGAGAATGACGCCCCCTGGAGTTGTCCAAGGGGAGTTCAATCAGACAACTCGGTCTAGTAAGATGAAACTCCCTTCAAGTCCGATTGGAATTGAGGGGAAGGAGAACATTAGCAGTATAAAACCAAATAATTTAATAAATTATCCTGCAATTTTTTATTGTTCCTTGCATTTTTATTGTACTAAAAAACTGTATGGGCTGATACATCTAGTGTTCAAATTAGATCTTGAACTTCTTAAAGATGACAACAGTATTACAATTATCGCTTAATTTTAAATCTTTCTGGGGGCTCTCACAGAGTAACTTGCACATGGTCGGTGCTTCCACGAACCTTGACATCCACGGAGGACTGAGTTTGTGAATCATTGGTTAAGCCGGCTCAGATCATACCGACTTCCTCATTGTAGGGGTGTCTTTGTCATTTTTTTAGGGTTAGTAAATATGCTTTTCCTTTTCCTGCTTCTGTTCACAGCTGCTGCTCACCTCCATTTCTGAGCTATCACATTTCTACTTGGGACTTTCATGGTCGCTGGTAAAAAGCAAACACTTCCTTTAACATTCAGACAGATTTTATTAGTTTTATTGTTTTTTAATTGAAGGGAACTGCAGGTCACAACGTATGGCACCCAGAGTGGAAGGTTTCTAAGTGAAATCAAAGCAGGTCCTGGCACTCGTTGCCATCATAGGTTTCACTTGAACAGCCAAGTACATTATGTGAACTTTATCCCATTAATCCTTAGAGATAAGTAAGGGAACCTGAAAGAAAGGTCTGTCTAGATAGGTTCATGTGGCCAGGCAGTGAGAGTGTTAATAGCTTGCTGCCTTGTCCAGTATTTGAATAATCAGGCTATGCTAGGCCACTGCTCAGGGCCCACAACTTTATTTTAGAACTTATCTTGTGGCATTTATATAAGGCAGCTTCAAAAAGTTCATGGAGGGGCCCGGTGTAATAGCGTGCAGTTAAAGTCCTTGCCTTGAAAGTGCCAGGATCCCATATGGGTGCTGGTTCTAATCCTGGCAGCTCCACTTCCCATCCAGCTCCCTGCTTGTGGCCTGGGAAAGTAGTGGAGGACGGCCCAAAGCCCTGGGACCCTGCACCCATGTGGGAGACCTGGAGGAAGTTCCTGGCTCCTGGCTCCAGATCGGCACAGCTTCAGCTGTTGTGCTCATTGGGGAGTGACTCATTGCACAGAAGATCTTCCTCTCTGTTTCTTCTCCTCTCTGTATATCTGCCTCTCCAATAAAATAAACAAATAAATAAATATCTTTAAAAAGTTCATCGAAAAAAGGTATTATTGTGAAAAAAAAAAAACAAACAAAAAACCCAATGCTTGGGTTTATTTGTTTTCTTTTACACTACAAGAAACTCTGTTTAGTGTCATGTGTCCACTTGCCATGAACCTGTTGAAGACGGTTTAGTGTGCTGGATTTAGACAACGCAGGCTAGGGGACTGCAGAAGTCACCAGCTCTCTATGAAACGCTGAGCAGACACGACTTGCCTCGTGAGACCCTGAGGGGCAAGGAGCCGGCCACTGCCCTCCAGGTACTCCTCTGCCCTGGGGAGTCTCTACCGGCACACAGTACCTGGGCGGGTCACCCGCCACTTGACAAGTGGCTTCTTACCTTCCCCCTCTGAGGTAGGTCGGCGATTTAATTCCCAGAATTTCTGAGCTGAGGGCTTTTCTTCTCCCACTCCATCGGTTCTTTCAGTCTCCACCGCGGGAAAGCACTCGCACCGCTCTGGCCGACGGGCGGGTTACAGCACGTGATTGACCTGAGGTCCCAGGCAGTCACGCTGCGGGGTTCCACATCCCCGACAGAGGCCCACACACCTCTTGCCCTTACGGGGAGGGGGCCTCTGGGGGTGTGGCTCGAGTCGCTCACGAAAATTTGGGGTAACTTCATTCGGTTTTTGTCTTTTTTTTTTTTTCTTCAGGTATCTCAGAGGCATTATTTCAGTCAGAAGTCTTCTCTGAATAAAAGCTGCTCTTGCCGAGCGAGCAGTAAGACCTGCCCCGCCTCCCCAGTCGGGCTCTTCAGGCGGATCGTCTCTGCCACCGCCTCACGACCGGGGACCGGCGGGCTGCGGGTCTCTCGGGCCACGTGCGGCCCTTCACCCCGGGGCCCCGCGCCACGCTCGGCGCGGCCGCTAGAGGGCAGCTCGGCGTTGCAGTTCTGCCGAGCCCTCTGGTGGCGCCCGGGGGAAGCGTGGCTCTCGGTTTAGCAAAGATGGTGTGGAGCACCAGGTAGCGAACTGTAAAGGCCTGGTGCTCAGCTTCCTTTTCTTAAGGACCATGGCAGAGTCTCAGTTGCCGTCTTCCGATGAGTTTCCCGTTCTCTCAGGATCACCCTTGCTTAGGTGGGGCCATCATTCTCTCTTGGCGAGGTAAGAAAATAGAGCCTGGGACTTGGCAACTATCCCCCCATGCTTACCCACCTCCTCCATCTTTCCCATGGCTAAAGAGCTCGTAGAGGAACATTAAGGGTTTTCAGTAGAGTAGCTCAGTTGCAGTATGGCGTTCAGGCTCTGAAGTTAAATTTTCAGGACCAAATTCCAGCCCCTCGCACTAACTGGGTAACCACATTATATTATGTAGCCCCTCGCCTCATCTGTCAAATAATACCTACATGCTATGGAAGGTGCTAGTCCAGCACAGCGAACGTGTTCAATAAATGGCAGCCATCTTTATGCTTCTTCAAAAAGTCTGTACAGTGCGTGGGGTACTTGTCAATAGGAAAACCCCTGTCTTTACAGGCACAGGCAAAATGCATTCTCTTAATAAGTTGAAAGCGGAGGAGGACCTCAATGGAAAAGAGCGTTCGTTCATGGGATGCAATCAGTGCAATGGGCATTTGGGGCACCCAGGGGTTCCAGAGGCCTGGACCCTCCCAGAGGAGCTGTGTGAGGTGCACAGTTGTCCTTCTTGCACCCTACACCATTAGGTGCAAGCCTTCTGGGTGAGGCTGGGCTTGAAGTCTGTGAACCAGGCCCTGGGGGAGCGGGGTAACTGGACAAATGCAAGTTTCAGACCCAGCCAGGGAACTGGGCATTCCAAGGCCAGCTCAGTCATGCCTGTCAGATTTGTCATCCATGGGGACTCTACAAGGTGGCAGGGTGTCCCAGGCCCAAGTCCAGGCCCAGCAACAAAGGGGCCAGAAAAATCAGACAGGTAAAAACCCCCACAGAAGGGCTCGGAGCCGAAGGGCTGCTAACCATCGCAGGCCCAGGGAAAGGTCAGCCCCAGCCGAGCAGCTGTTGCATCTGGTGCCAGGGGCGCTTGGCTGTTGCCTTCTGCACCAGGCGGCCTCCCTGACCGGCCCTACCTAGAGCAGCCAATGACTGTGTTCTTAAAGGGGACTGGCTCCTTGGCAGCAGGCAGCCTCGTCTAGAGGGCAAAGCCGATCTGTATGAATGGAAAAGGGGGAGTGGTGCAGAGGGTGTGTGTGTGTGTGTGTGTATGTGTGCGCGCGCGGGGGCGGGGAGGGAGGGGGTTCAGCTGGCTGCAAGGCAAGGAGCTCGTGGCTGAAGCCTCAGCCTCCATGTTGTGTGTGAGTACTCCACGCGTTTCTTTGGGAGACAGGCAGGGGCCTGGGCTGCCAAGGGACCCTGACAAGCCTTGACTTGAGCTCAGCCTGGGAGCCCGGGGTGGCGTCGGGAGCGGTCTAAACGGTGGTGCAGGGAGGGCCTGCCTAGCCAGGGGGTGTGGGGGGTGGCGGAGGTGCGGGGCCACGGCAGGAGCAAAGGCACGAAGGAAGGATGAATCTGCTGCGCGCCCAGGATGGCATGGAGACTTCCCTGATTGGAGCCGGGAGTTCTTGCAGGGGGATGAAGGCAGCTACGATTGGATAGCTCAAGTGGGGCCAGATTTGGAGGGCTTTGAATGCCCGACCGAGCAGCGCTCAAGCCAGCTCCAGGCTGGCGATTTCCGCTCGAGACCCAATTACCTAAAGGGGTGGTGAATGCCCACGCGTGCTCAGCGTTGGGGCGCGCGCGCGCGTGCGCTGGTGGGGGAGGGGGGAGAAAACCAGCTTATCCTCCTACCTGCTCCAGGGTCCCTGGTGGACCGAGGGAGGAACTAATCCTTGCTCGTCGCCCAGGGAAGGGGACAGCGTTTGGATGAATCTCACTTGACCTGCTTCGAAGATATAACACCTCCCCCCCTCCATACCCCTTACCCGCCAAGAAAAAAAAAAAAATTCCCATTTCCACGCCAAAGATTATTCCATGCGGTTCCTCCTCCTCCTCCTGCTCCTCGCCCAAGTGGTCGCTCTCCGGGCCTCGGCCACCAGCGCGGCCGCTGCCCTGCCCCTGTCCCCGTGCGCCCCCCGCCCGGCGCCCCGCTCCGTAACCCGCACAGCCCGGTCCACGCCCCCCCACGGCCGAGCGGTAGGTGTTGTGCCGTCTGCGCCGGGCCGCAGTGCGGCTGCGCGCACTGGGCTGCCTCCGGGGCTGGCAGGGCAGCGGCGGCGGGGCCGGGAGCGAGCGGCGGCGGCGTGGGGAGTGGCGTGGAGCGGAGCCTGGGGCTGCAGCGGCGCGGGGAACACGGAGTCGGGAGCCCCGGGGGCGAGGAAGGCAGGCTGGGCCGCCGAGCGCCTGAGCAACCGTTCTTGGATTTTGGGGGTGGGGGGAGGCAACCTGCCTCCCTCAACACACTTGGTCTTCAGACGCCCCCTCCTCAACCCCCTCCAGCCCCGGCCGCTGACGGGAGAAGGCGGCGGCGGCGGGGGGCTGAGGGGCGCCGCCATGCCTCTCCCGCGGTGAAGCGCCCGGCCGTGAGGAGCCGCTCGGTCTCCCCGGTGATGTCCCCCAGGCGGCAGGCGAAAGCGACTCACTCGAGCCCTGGGGTATAGGCCTAGCTTATCCAGCTTCCTTCCTCCTCCTCCTCCTCCTCCTCCCCTCCCCCTCCTCCTCTCCCCCCTTTCGTCCTCCCCCTCCCCGTGTCTTCCCTCACCCTTCCCCGCGCCCCCATCTTCCCTCCCTCCCACCCACCCACCCCTCCAGCAGCGATGGCAGAGGAACAACAACAGCCGCCACCGCCGCAGCCTGATGCCCATCAGCAGCTTCCCCCCGGCGCCCCCAACTCGGGGGTGGCTCTGCCAGCCCTTGTGCCCGGGCTGCCAGGGACAGAGGCCAGCGCGCTGCAACACAAGATCAAGAACTCCATCTGGTAAGAGGATCCTCCATCGCCCAGGCACATTGCTGCTGCAAAACGGGCGGGGGGCGGGCGGAGAGCGCAGCCGGAGGATGATGCCTTCATTCAAAGTGGGTTTCCAGACTCGGGTGCATCTGTGCAGGACCTCGGGAGGCGTGGGGACTTTGCATCAGCCACTGGTTCTCCTTAGCTCGAAAATGCTTTTATTTCCCCCTGCTTCCGTGGGAGTGCAGATACCCAAGTTATTTGTGCTTTTCTCCATCTCTCTTTCTCTCTCATAGTGGAAGAAGACTATGGGTGAAAATTAAGTCATGTTGCATGATGGTAGCAAGGATTTGGGACTGGGCATGCGAAATGTGTTTCCTCCTTTTGCAGTCATAGAGAGGAGGAAGTGTATTGTGAATGTTCACCAGACAGACATCGTGCGTAAGAATATTAATATGCAGCACAAAACCTAATGTGCCTCTGCCTTTCAATGGGGTAAAGGCTGCTCTTGTTGTTGTTTTTCTCTTTGATTTGGCTCTTAAATTTTCCTTCCAGGGAGTTTATTCTTTGCGTTGGTTGTGAGAAGAGTGTTTCTTGGGTATAAAATATTTTAAGATAGTAGTTTAAGCTGTAAAATGATTAGGAAAAAATTAAAAGGAGGGCATAAATGTTTTGCTAGTTCCTGTATTTTCAAAGAAGCTCTCAGTGAAATATTCTTCACAATTTCTGGACTTTCTTGTGGGAGAATTTCCAGTTTTTCAGCTTCAGGTTGAACTCTTAAAGACTGGTGGCCGTCCTTTAATAATTAAATACACCGAGTTAAGTCATCCTCCGGTAGAGCCATTGCAAATATATTTTGAACGTGAACTTACATCGTTTTATAGGACTCTCTGTTAGGTGATTTAAAAAAAAAATAAGCGTAGCACTATTTTTAAAATGGAAAGGAGTATCTGGTATTTGGCCTAAGACCATGCTTTTAATAGAATCTTAAAAATAGAATTAAACGTGATGCAAAAAAAAAAAAATAAAAAGCTTTGATTTTAAAAATGAAATCTTGCAGATCCATCAGATATGACTATCTGAATATCGAAAGTCCTTATGTTTATATTGAATTTTTAAAAAGCATGCATCAGAAAGCATGGCATGGCATGTATAATATCGACACATTGAGGAACAGGTTTTAAATTCAAAATGAAGGTTGCTTAGACATTAATTTTCATTATTTCCTTGGCATGCATCCATGTTGTCAGGATGCTAATATGAAGTAGGTCAGTGCAGGCTTAAATAATCTCATTCAGCATAGTCGTTGGTAGTTGAATGTCTTGCTTTCAGTTTTAATATTAAAATGAAATTTCAGAATTTTAAAGGAGAAGATTTTTTTGGCTTTGACAGTAGTCATGTGGCAATTTGAATAGGTCAGACATAAATGATTTTGTGTGTGTAGAAAGAGAGAGAGAGAGAAAGCAGCCTATTCTTGCATGGATATTCTCACCCCTTTTGCAGCTATTGCTTTAAAGAAGAAATGGTTCATTTCCTGTTCACCATCGAGGTTCCCACAAACCTGGGGTGTTTTTTCCCCCTGTTAACATGATGTAACTTATGTCTCTGAAATAATCATTAAATTGAACTAAGCTCGTTGATTTTCCCATTCATATAAGGGACATGCAAGTAAAAGGACCAAAACCTTTCAGAAAGGCAAATTTAGAAGCCAAATTAGCACATAAGTTGTACTTTAATATATTAAGAGAGAAAGGAAAGGAATTTTTAGTTCATACCTTTAAAGTAAGAGTGAGTTGGTTTGGCACCTTTAAGAAGTATTTGGACAATGATGAGAGTGGAGTGTTTTCTTTAGTAAATCATATGATTTAATTATTCTTTAATTAATAATTGGTATTTACCCATCCATTACAACTTAACTGTGCTAATATTTGACTTGAGCAAAACTTCAGATGTGCTGTGCACTTCAGTGTTTGATCCTTGCTCTGAAAAGCTAATGAGCAACAAGCAATTCCAAAAATGTACAATTTTATATATGTATTTTAAAATTGTGGTGACCCACTTCTTAGTATTTTATTTTCAATTTTGTGGAAATCTTATTTCACAGAAATGGTTTGTTTATGTGGCTTGTTTATATTATATTTAAAATTTCAGAATAAATATGAGTGAATAATAAACATCAAAAGGTGTATTTTAATCTAGAGTCTCATGTTACCTCTTCCACAAAACTGACTTTAGATTGTATATCAACTGACCTTATAAAATAAAAATATTAAAAAATCAAAACTCCTTTACTACCATCCTCCAGGAAATGGTATGCATACATTTAAATTTAAATCATTTTTAAGATATTGCAATTCTTTAGATATTTCACTTCACTTGCTTTTAGGCAGTAAATCTTATGGCCATTATTTTTATCACCTGTTCATGACCTGAGAGTACACTTTTTGTACTACTTGCCAGGTCATCTTCTGGCACTATTGTTGATAAAAATTTAAAACTAAAATCAGAAGAAAGCATATGGCAACTAAAACTTATCAAATGGATTTTACATTTAGGTTAATCACAGTTTCTAAATTACTGGGCTTGGAGATCACAAACAAGTCTGTGCTTGTCCTCCCACTCTACAAATACAAATATAGTGTGTGATGTAGGCCTGTGGCTGGACAATGAGTTATTTATTATCTCAATTCATAATTAATTTATTCTGTTTATTAAAATGAAAATTCTATTTGATAAAAATATTCCATTGTAATTGCAAGTATTAGATGAGACTTTGAAAAAGAGATTAAGTATTCAAAGTTGAAACCAAGGTTTTTAATGCAACTACAAACTATATGTCTTAAGAGTTAGAAATATAAAAAAATAGTTAGAAATATGATGTGTTTAAGTGGCAATTCTAAGAAAATAGACCCTGCTAACCAGATGGTGTTGTTATGTTTGTGTGAGATGTGTTTGAAGAGGTTCAAGTGAGGTTCAGCCTTACATTGACCATCCTCACTCCCATTCCAGAGACAAAAGAAGCCTATTACTTAGACTCCTCAATTGAAGAGAGATCTGTTTGTTGAGGTCTGCTTTTCTTCATATTATTTTTATTCATTTATTTAGTATATTTAAGTGAGAGAGCATTTCACTGTTGGCTCATTGCCCGAATGATGTCAATAGCTGGGATTGGTGTGGGCCGAAGCCTTTAGTTAGGATCAGCCAAGCTCTCCACCATGAGAGGCCTAGGTAATCCAGTTACTTGGGTTGTCTTGCATGGCCTTCCATGGTCTGCATTTGCAGGAAGCTGGAGTCTTAACCCAGAGCCAGCTCTCTGCCCTAGGTAGCCTGATGAGGAGTGTGGCAACTTAACTGCTAGGCCCAGACACCTGCCCCGGGAGTTTTTTTTAATCCTAAATGTGCTGTCAGAATATAACTTGTATTTTCTAAGCAGTAGAATTCTAAAATACACTTTTTTGTTGTTTTAAGAAAAAGAAAACCAGTGACCCATGCCTTGTTTTTTTCCTAAGCGGTCTTGCACTGGTGACCTAAAACAAGGACACAGACCAACCTAACTGCAAATTTCAACTTAGGTTGCACTGCTTTTTTGTTCCTTGAAGCAAGTATGAAAGCAAGTATTTCTCTTCTGTCTCCCAGTGTCTTCATTATTGGAACAAAAGAGAAGAAATTTTATGCTTAAACAGCAACAAAAAAAATTTGCCAAGCACTTTGCTTTTTCTTTTGGAAGATGGTGATAGAATAAAATTGGTATGGGAAAAAAAACAGGATAGAAAAAATCATATTAGCAAACCCTCTGCCTATTTGCGATTATGCTTAAGAGTTGATCATACTGTGGCTCCGGTTGTGGCTAAAGATAACTTTTGCAGCACCAGCACCCCACCTGGGTACCAGTTCGAGCCCTGGTTGTTCCACTTTTGTTCCAGCAACCTGCTTATGGAGGGAGTCCTTGGGCCCCTGTACCCATGAGGGAGACCCAGAGGAAGCTCCTGGTTCTGGGCTTTGGATCAACATAGCTCCAGCTATTGCTACCATTTGGGGAAAGAACCAGCATATGGAAAACCTCCGTCTCGCCCCTCTGTAACTCTGCCTCTCAAATAAAATAAAAATAAGTCTTTTTTATTTTTAGAAAAAGAATGAATTATATTTACATGGCTAGGAATGATTACCATATTTGCAATTAGGTTATAAATATAGATAATAATTTAGGAGATATTTAAAATAAATTCTGATATTTTATTATTGGAGATATTGTAATACTATATTTACTTGACAGGTTTAGGGAATCTTAGAGTTTTAAAATGTAACACTGTGTTTAAAGACAGACATGATGAAAGAAGCATCACTGTTGTACGCATTGTTTGGAAAGAAACAAACAATGCCATCGAAGCTATAGAGTTTCTCTGGTTCATTGTCAGAGCCTGGAAGCACTGATAGGGTCAGAGTTCCTTGTCTTTATTCAGTCCTTAAGGCATACAAACTTCTGAATGTACAATTGAGAGTCAAAATTACAACTGAAGCAATCTATATGGTCCTGAGACAGATCACATAATACGTAGATATTTATTGACATCTTAACAAAACAATCATTCAACTTGGGCTTAGATTCAAATTTAGAAAATATCCAACAGACCATACAGATTGCTTCAATTGTAAGTTTCCAGTGATGGTACCTTAAGCAAAGTGTGTTGAACCATAAGGTTTACATAGTGATGCTATGTTAGACCTGATTCCTGTCTCCTGCCCTGTAACTCAGACTTCTTGCTTTGTTCTTGGTTCTGGGTTGGGTATTTTATTAGCCCTGTCTGAGAAATGGTTATTGTTCCTTCAACTGCAATGAAAAGCATTTACTTTAAACCTTACAGCTTTAGAGCTTGTTTTAACCACAATTTTGTGCTCATTTTGGCTGTGAAAATAAAGACTGGTACATCAGTTAGTTTTCATAAGTGTTTGGGTAGTTGATTGACAGGCTATCAACCCAGAATTTGGCCTGTCTTCTATAGCAGATATACAGATGACCTGTCTATAACAGG